GCTCAAACATTCATAAAACATCCAAAACTAAAAGCAAAAGCAAATGCAAATGCAAATGCAAATTAAACATCATCCTTACATGCCAACACCAAAAAAAGAATGGGAGCAGAGAGACGAAACGTGAGAGAGTGAGAAAGCGAGAGAGAAGTGAGAGAGACAACAAGGATACATCAATTTGACAAATTCTATTACTTAAGCTCTCACTATATTCCTCTTATGAAAGAACTAAACAAAATATTATAAGTAATATGTAATTTCGAGTATCCGATACTTCAAAATTAAGTATCCGATACTTTAAAATTAATAAAAAATTAATTAAGAAGTATCCGATACGTATCCGCGAGTATCCGAGGAGTATCGGTATCCGATAAGTATCCGATACGGATACGTCACCCTTTTTGAAGTATCCGTGCTTCATAGGTTTTGGGAATAGGTGCAGGTAGTGGATCCAGTTTTGCATATCTACAGTCCATATGTCAGTGTTGGTTAATGGTACGCCTGGTGGTTTTTTTTCCACTCACCGGGGTTTGAGGCAGGGTGATCCTTTGTCTCCTTTATTGTTCATCTTAGTTATGGAGGTATTGAGTCGGTTGTTATCTAGAGCAGTTCAAGGGGGTTTGTTGGTTGGCTTTCAGGTTGGTTTGGATTTGGCTTTGAGTCTGAGTGTTTCTCATCTTTTCTATGCTTATGATGCTCTCATTTTTGGTGGAGGTGATGTGGCTTAGATTGATCATTTACAGTGTGTTGCTTTGTTTTGAGGCAATTTGAGGTCTTCGGGTGAATTTGGTGACGTCGGAGCTGATTGCGATAGGGGAGGTTGTGCGATTGCCGGTTCTTGTAGCTATATTGGGCTACAAGGTGGCGACTTTATAAATATCTTATTTGGGCTTGCCTCTTGGAGCCACGTTTAAAGCAACACGGGTATGGGATGGTGTAGTGGATCGAGTACAGCGGAGATTGGCAGTATGGAAGCGTCAGTATTTGTCTAGAGGAGGCTGGGTCACCGGGATTAAGAGTGTTTTGTCTAGTATTCCGACATACTTTATGTCGGTGCATGCGATTCTTGTATCGGTTGCAAAGAGGAATGAGAAGCTCCAACGGGACTTTCTATGGGGTGGAGGGGGTGAGTATTCATTATCATCTAGTGGCCTGGCATCGGATTTGCACTTCAAAGGAGGAAGGGGGTTTGGGGATTTGACGTTTAGTAGAGTTCAATTTGACTATTTTGGGTGAAGTGGTTGTGGCGGTTTTTGAGGGAAAAGGAGTAGTTTTGGAGGAAGGTAGTGGTGGCTAAATATGGTTTGGGGTGGGGGGAGTGGTGCACAGAAAGGGTAGGGTAGTTGCATAGGCGGTGTTTATGGAAGGGGGTTTGGTTAGGGCGGGAGGAGTTTTGGAGACGAGTGAGCTTTAAGGTTGGTGTGGGGGATAGGTTCGGTTTTGGAGGGATAGGTGGTGTGGGGATGTTTCTTTGGAGGAGAGGTTCCCTTTAATTTTTAATATTGTGGTGGATCGGAAGGCGACAGTGGCATCTTATGGGAATGGGCAAGGGTAGACGGTGGTTTGGAGTGTTCGGTTGCGTCATGATATTCAGGATTAGGAGATGGATCAATTGATGGATCTCTTGGCATTCTTGTATGGGCTACGGTTTGGAGGAGTGGGGAAGGATGCTTTGGTATGGGATTGCCCAAGGATGAAGGGATTTTTGTGTCTTCATTCTATCGGGAGCTTGTGGGTGGGGCAGCGGTTTCTTTCCCTTGGAGGTCTATTTGGGTGCCTGAGAGTCCATCCAAAGTTGCTTTCTTTGTGTGGACGGTAACTTTGGGTTGTATTTTGACTATTGATAATTTGATTCAATGTCGGCATATCGTAGTTAATTGGTGTTGCATGTGTTTGGGGGTGCGAAGACGGTAAATCATTTACTTATTCATTATCCGGTTGCATTTAGGCTTTGGATGTTCATTGTGGCAACCTTTGGTCTGACTTAGAAGCTGGGGTGGGGGGAAGGTTGGGAAAAGGTAGCAGAAGGCGTGGTTGCTCGCTACTCATTGTTTAATGTGGTTGATTTGGTTGGAACGCAATAGACGCATTTTTTAGGGCATCACTCGCTCGGTTCCGTGGTTGGAAAGTCGGTTACTTTTGGTGCTTCATAGTTGGGTCACATTTTCTATTGAGCCGGATGTGTTTGCCTTTGTGGATTTTGTGAATGGCTTGATTAGCTAGCCTTTGAGTTTTCTGTTTTGAGTTTTGTGCTCTGAGTCTTTTGGTTCTTCATTTTTGTATTTGTTTCATCACCTTGATGCTTTCTCAATAAAGTTTGTTTATATATCAAAAAAAAAAAAAGAAAAAAAAAAGAGAATATAGGCTCAAATCATTCATATTAAGCTAAGGGAAAATTTCATTTTACCCCATTGTGCTTTTACCCATGTGCGGATTACCTCCTCTCATTTGAAAATAATCACATAACCCCCTTGTGGTTTGTGGACTAAAGTGCACCGTTAAATATTTCGTCCAACTTAATAGCAAGTGTGAAACACATGCCAAACACAAGGGGTTATGTGCTCATTTTCAAATTTTAAGGAGGTAAATCGCACATGGAATAAAGCACATGGGGTTAAAATGCATTTTGCCTTCCAAACAAATGATGAAAATATCCATAGTTCACACACTTAGGTTACTTATATACTGGGGTATTTTAATCTTTTTCATTAAATTGTTAATGGGCCTAATAGTGCACTTCAGTTTACGAATCACATGGGGGCTGAGGGGTGTAATCAGCACATGAGACAATACAAACATGGATAGAAAAATAGCATGATTAATCATAATATCCCATGGAATTAATATACTAATCATTCAAGAAAAGTAAACCCTAGCAAGCTTCTACATATTTCAAATAAAATAGATGAAAACGCATATCCTCTGTTACCGCAAAGAGCAATAGAGATGGTATAGAGAGCTATGTCACCAACTAGTAGCTTTAACCCAAATTTTCAAGTTTCAAGTGGACTTTAAGCCCCAAGAACTCCTTTAAAATTTCCAAGAATGATCAACAGAGCAAGAGGGTGTGATGGGTAATGGTGTGGGGGTGCTAGAATTTTTGTTCTTCAATGGAAAATCAAGAAAAAACCAAGAGGAGGTGGTGATAGAGCTCTCAGGAGCATGGGGGAAAGTGAGGGAGTGTGTGTTGTTCTCTTTCTCCCTCCCTCCCCAAGTGTAAGACGATGTTCAAATAAAGTGGTCATGTCTTGGGCAAGACCTAACCTACCATTCAACCTTACATTCTAATATGTTTGACTAAAGTGTATACAAACCAAATGAAGACGAAGGAGGGGTGACAAGTGCCGGCTGGCAAAGTAAATTTGGGGGAAAAATTCCCTCCAAGAAAATTGGAACTATGTTGATTAGTCAAAAAACCCAAGCCCTAAGTGGGTGGGTCATGGGTATTGGGTCAATTGCCAAATAAATATTTTCTGGTCATGGGTTTGTTTGACACCCAAAGACCAAATCAATAACTCATGCAATTTGTCTTAATCTATTTAAAGTAAATGTAAAGAAGAAGTAACTAAATTAATTAAGTTTTATTGACAATTAATTTTAATTAGTGAGATACATGGCCAATTAATGCAAATTGATTACTTAATTAGGGAATAAGTTTATCGGACATTACACCTCCAAAACCTTTCAACACTACATATATATATATTTTTAAATGGATTTTTAAATTTTTTTTGAAAAAGTAAATTTTAATTGTCATTTGTTTGGTATGGCGACTACAATAGCATCTTAAGTAAAGATGGTACATTTTGTTCTAAAACGGTGAATTTAGTGATCCATGGCTATCTCATTTTTTTCTATTTATGGATTTTTGGTAGGGAAATTTTTTTAAAGGAATGAACTGTAATGATTCTAAAAATGTGTTATGATTAATTTGAAAAAAGAAAAGAAAAGAAAAGAAAAGATGTTATTGGATGTCTAATTGTTAAAAGAAAAGTGCTTTAGAAGTACCTTAAATTCTAATGGTACAATATATTTAAGTCTATCCCTCTTGTACCACATTTTGTAGCATGTGACACACTGCATTTTTGTTCGCGGTCCACATACAGAAATGATCTGTGTTCCAAGTAACATAGCAAAGTAGTGTGTAGTAAAGTTATTTACACTCAAATTGAAATTATCACCCATTCCATCCAAAAACTTCCCGGTACCTTCATGATTTTGAGATATGGCTGCTGCCTTAGATTTTTCTTCCTTGTTGTACCATTGTGATAGAAGAGTATTATTTTATACAATTGGTGCAAAAGAAACTGTATGAAAGTGGTTGTAGTGGGGGTGCCGATCCAAAAAAAAAAAAAGGTGCTTGTAGTAGGGCTGTTTAGCTTTGGTACCAAACTGGTATAGGTCATCCTTAGAAAACATAGAGCAAATTTGCATACAATGAGATATATGGAGACCAGGTTAGGAGTAATGATGGTTGTTTTTGTGGTTTTGAAGAGGTTGGATTTACTTGTGCATAAAGGTGATTGGTACATCTATTTTGGTGTTTTCACATTAAATTAAAGGACAATTTGATAGGCAAAATTAGACTTCATTGAAATGAATGGTTGTATAGATATTCTAGTGTGGTGGAATCTATACATCTACAAGGATTAAGACTTCAAAACTATTAAGTCTTGAAACTTTTGACTAGTTAAACCCTGCTAGCCTCCATGAAGACCACACATGACAACCTATATAACATGGCTTAAGCTTTGACCCAAAATGTAACCGACAGCCTGTGTTATGCAAATCATGCAATCATAGTGACACCCTCAACTCTTAAAACTGAGATTCCAGACGTTAAACTACTTGAGTGGAAAAGAAACCCATAGATAAAAGAAAATAAATTGAAATTAAATAGTATTTGTACATGGTTGCAAGCTTGTCCCTGTGAAGTGAAGTCCCACATTGCCCGCGTATTGAAATAATGTTAAGCATATAAAGCGTGAGTGCAACCTCACCTTGATAACTAGCTTTTGGGGTTGAGTTCTACCTAAAACCGTATAACATTGTATTAGAGCTGGGTCTTGGGTGGTCTCTAGTAGTGGGCCAAGTCTCCACTCGATGTCTAATCTCTCACCTCTCGTCTCTTTATCACCTCCTTAAGCTATCCGGGCTGCATGTGCAGGGGAGTGTTAGATCTGTCTCACATCATCTCTTTAAACCTCCCAAGCTTGCTTAATATACTTGAGAACCCCTTCTACTCATTGCAAATTGGTTTTGAGTTGGATGCTTTAATGTAGTATTAGAGTCAACCACCACGTTGAGTATGGGATCAGATCTCCAATGCTAGTATGGGATCAGATGAGTGCGACTTTGTGGTACAAGCCGTGGAGGGGGCGATCTATAGGTTGGATTAAGACACATAAATAGGTGTTGAATACTATCAATGGTTGAAGCCACCATAAGGGAAAATCCTACTATTGGGTCAGTCGATAGAGTGGGCTGCCATAGACGTCGACTTCAGAGCTTGGTGTTATGTTATGATCCCACATTTGTTAACATAGGCCTTAGCCATGTGCATATAAGCCTCTTGGGCACCCTCCCGTTGCAAGACTGTTTTTGAGGGTGAGTTCTACCCAAGGGGTTCATATCACATGGTATTAGAGCTAGAGTACTCAGGGATGGGTAGGGTGCGTGTCCTTAGCCTACACACCGCACCACAAGTGCTATTGAGTGAGCATGGTGGGCGTGAGGGAGGGTGTGAAGTAAAGTCCCACATTGCCTGAGTACTAAAGTAATGTTAAGCAGATAAACGTGAGGGCACCCTCATCTTAATAGTTAGCTTTTGTGGTTGAGTTCTACCTAAGGCCGTGTAACAGTCCCTATCTAGTGGAATGGCCGGGGATTTTGGGTATAACATTCCCAATGGCCTCATGGAAGATGAAGATTTATGGCATGCTTTGCATCATGTATGGAACTGTTGATTAGTGATGAACTTCTGTAGCCCTTTGTAGAGCGGAGTGGCGAAAAAGGATTCATGTGGCTGACCCTGTATAAGGCTTTGTTTGGTTTGGTTTAGTTTGTGTCCACTAACAGAATTGTGTCCACTATCAGGAGGAAAATATTTGTTTATTTTGTTGCTCGTTGTTCTATAGGGAATTGCTGATACCATGGCATATTTGCAAAAAGAAGGCCGTTTGCTTCGCGCTGAGCATAATCTTCTTGGTGAAGCATTTCTTGTCATGGCTTCTGCAGCTGGGTAATTAATTCTTACTATGGAATTTTTTTATTTTGTGTGTGATTTCTTGTTGTTTCCTTTATTGGTTTACTTTTGCAAATTCTGAACTTTGTGCAGGATTCAACAGCAACAAGAAGTTTTAGCCTGGTTACTTGAACCTTTGAGCAAACAGTGGACACAGCTAGAGTGGCAAATTGCTTATTTGTCTGATCCAACAGGCTTGGTTCGCTTGTGCTCTGAAACGCAATTTATGTGGTCACTTTTCCACACTGTGACATTCTTTGAGAAAGCACTTAAGAGAAGTGGTTTCCGAAAAGGCAATATAAACTCACAGAACAACTCAACAGGAAGTTCTGGTCTTTTGCATCCAATGGCTTCTCATCTGTCATGGATGTTGCCTCCTCTGTTAAAAGTAAATTGGTCTTAAGAGCTGGCCATGTTAATTTCCTTGCATATGCTAGTAGAAAATCATCTTTAGGAAGGATTATACTTAATCACCACATTTATATAGTTATGGCATGTCCTTGATCTGCAGCTGCTTCGAGCTCTGCATTCTCTTTGGTCTCCACCTGTATCTCAAGCATTAGCTGGAGAAATGAAAGCTGCAATGGCCATGAGCGATGCTGAGAGGACCAGTCTTCTTGGGGAAGCTAACCCTAAATTGTCAAAGGGGTCACTAACATTTGCTGATGGATCTCAAATTGAAATGAATAAGGAAGGTTATGCAGAATCAAATGAGACTGATATACGAAATTGGTTGAAAGGCATCAGAGATAGTGGGTATGTATTATTACTTTTTTTAGCCGTGGTGTACAGTTTGAGTGCTAGAAAATAGTTTGTTTTGTTTTATTTGAATTCTATTACTGTTGTTATTGAACTTCTCTTCAATTGGCTAATGTCTCATTTTAAGTTTATATGAATGGTCTACTAACAAGAATCTTTTAAGCATTCTGCCAATTATACCTCGACATCATAGCAAGAATTTTGCAGTGTCTTTGATCAAGTGTTCAGTTATTTGTTGCATGAAAAGATTATACTCATTTCGATTTTACATCTTATTTTTTTCTTTTTTATTACTCCCAACAGCAGATGAAGTTTTCTAGCTGAAGATTTTTATGATCCAAATTTTTCTTTCTAATGATCTGTTATTATAATTTTTTTCCCATCAAATCTGCTTGCCACCGTGCTAATGCCTGGTGCATATCACCACTGGTCTTTTAGGCCTAGTGATTGCTTGATGGGCCCCTAGTCTTCTTATTGTTCTGCTTAACATCACGAAAGTGAGATTTAAATAAAATGGAATGAGAAAATGTGGTGCATTGATGAAAAACTAGATGATAGTACTTAACATTCAAGTTCATGTGTGAAAGAGGTAGCGAAATAGGAGAAATTGTAATAATACGAAAGTGAAAGTAAGCTCTAGTTGTACGGCTAGTGTGTCGTGAGGTATCATGGTATTTCACTTTAATAACCTAAGTATTTTAGATCCTTGTTCTGCCATGTTGGAAGAACATGGTAGCTTTCTGAACTAATGGACCATTCTAAACATTGCCAGTTGTTTGATTTGATATGCAATTCTAGTTAATGAGGACTAGGGTTGCAAACGAACTGAGCCGAGCTTTGCTGAGCTCGAGCTTGGCTCGTTTATTTATCGAGCTCGTTTATTGAGCTCGAGCTCGGCTCGATAAGGAACTGGGCTCGAGCTCGGCTCGGCTCGGCTCGGCTCGTTAATTTTAATGAAACCGAGCTTGGCTCGGCTCGGCTCGATAAATTTTTTTAATATTATTTATATTATTTAAATATAAATATTTAAATAAAAAATATTATTTATATTATTTAATATATAAAAAATGTATTTATATTATTATTTTTATATATATTTTTATATATATTTATATTATTTAATATATAAATAATATATTTATTATATAATTTAAATAAAGGTAAACGAGCCAAATATTCGAGCTCGAGCTCTGCTCGTTTACTAAACGAGTCGAGCCGAGCCGAGCTTGTTCATGAACAGCTCGGTTCATTTGCAGCCCTAATGAGGACTCCATCTGATTAAGTGCTAACGCATATTATTTGGCTCTAGCAGGTATAATGTAGTGGGCTTATCAGCAACCATTGGGGATTCATTTTTCAAGTGTTTGGATGTCCATTCTGTTTCCCTTGCACTGGTGGAGAACATACAATCAATGGAGTTCAGGCATATAAGGCAGCTTGTTCATGCAGTCTTGATTCCATTAGTAAAATGCTGCCCTCAGGATTTTTGGGAGGAGGGGTTGAAAAAGCTCCTGCATCCATTGCTTCTTCACACTCAGCAGGCTCTTAGCTGCTCATGGTCCAGTCTTTTACTGGAAGGTAGAGCAAAGGTTCCAGATCTGCATGGCATACCTGCTGGATCAGACTTGAAGGTCGAAGTAATGGAGGAAAAGCTACTTCGAAATTTAACTCGTGAGATTTGTTCACTCCTCTCGGTTTTAGCTTCATCAGGACTAAATGCAGGGCTTCCTTCTTTAGATCAGTCAGGGCATATCAGCCGTGTGGACACATTTGCCTCAAATTCTATGGTTGGGTATGCATGAAGCACATTGCTTCTACAAGAGTTTATTTATGGTGAATTCCAAGATAATTTGATGTCCTCGTGAAATTCTTTAATGTTCTACAATTTTTAATTGTCTCAATCTTGTGTTTTAATTACAGTTTTGTTTTGAGACACAAAGATCTTGCTGTTCCAGCTATGCAGATAACTTTAGATGCCTTTAAATGGACTGATGGTGAAGCTGTGTCTAAAGTTTCTTCCTTTTGTGGAGCTGTAATTCTTCTGGCCATCTCAACTAATAATGTAGAACTCCAACAATTTGTTTGTAAAGACTTGTTCTATGCAATCATCGAAGGTTTGGCCCTTGAGTCAAATGCTTTTAGCAGTGCTGATCTGGTTGGTCTCTGTCGTGAAATCTTCATTTATCTATCTGATAGAGACCCAGCACCCAGGGAGGTAAGTGATATCGCTCGTGCTCTTCAAATTTGCCTACTATGTGCAACTAGGATACATTTTGAATAACTCAGTTGCTATTTATAATTGGATAATTTTATGTGATTCTTTGTTGGGTGGTATCAGATTTTGCTCTCTCTTCCTTGCATTAGTCGCCAAGATTTGCTTGCTTTTGAAGAAGCTTTGACAAAGACAAATAGTCCTAAGGAACAAAAGCAGCATATGAAGAGCTTGCTAATATTAGCTACAGGAAATAAGTTAAAGGCACTTGCCGCTCAGAAAAGTGTGAATGTAATTACCAATGTTTCAAGTAAGCTCTCTGCGTTCTCACTCTTTACTTTTCTTTCTTTCCCCTGCCGCTGCCATTTAGTACATGTCAAACTGGGGTTAGGTCAATTTTGATTTTTGCATTGTTCTTGAGCTGCTTTAGTTCATATTCTATTTACTTTTTTAAATAGTCATAGATTGTTAATGAGTTGGACGAACATACATTAGAGGTCTAAGGATTGTGAAATGGGAGATAAGAAATTATCACAATTGAGACAAATTGATTTTCTATTTTGACTCTGTCCACCCAGGGCATAGCTCATTTTTATAATCTGCATTTCAGTTGCACAATATTACACAAGTAATTTAGAAGGCTTTGGGCAGAGTTGACTTTCATGTGAAACATAAGTTTCCATTTTGAGTATCTCAATAACTTTGAATTTCGTTTTTTTTACAACTGCACAATCTTTTTTATCACTAAACTACTATAGCCTTAAAGCTTTCTAAGAAGTGGACACACAGAAGGGGGAGATTTAAGTGTGAAATAAGTGTAATTTAATAGAATACAAAGCTTGGGTGATGATTATGATATCATCACCTTTTATATTAATCAATCAACTGTTACAAAAGGAAGCCCTAAGGCATTGATTAAGGAATCACCTTTTATATTGATTAATTGATTGACTGATCAAGGAATCATAATCAATCAATCAATCAATCAATTACAATCTAATCTAAATAAGGAAATAAGAAAATATTTTAACACTCCCCCTTAAGCTGGTGCAAAGATATCTTGCATGCACAGCTTGCCTAGAATGTCATGAAATTGTTTATTCCCAACTCCCTTGGTGAAGATGTCTGCAAGTTGTTTGCCTGACTTCACAAAAGGAGTACATATCATGCCATTGGTGAGTTTTTCCTTAGTGAAGTGACGATCGATCACAACATGCTTTGTCCTGTCATGTTAAACATGATTGTGAGCTATGTTGATGGTAGTCTTATTATCACAATATATCATCATAGAGTTTGTCTGGCCCATCCCTAGATTACTCAACAACAATCTGATCTACAAGAGTTCACACACCTTGTGCCATAGCTCTAAATTTAGCTTCTGCACTCGATGTAGTCATCACATTCTGTTTCTTACTCCTCCAAGTAACAAGATTGCCGCTCACAAAGGTACAATATCCTGATGTAGATCTCCTATCAGTTATTGACTGTGTCCAATCAGCATCTGTATAGGCTTTCACTCTGAGGTGATTATGTTTGGAAAAGTATAGACCATTTCCAGGAGAAGATTTCAAGTACACTAGAATTCTCATAACAACCTTTAAGTGAATTTGATAAGGAGCATGCATAAACTGGCTAACCATGTTGACAACAATAGCAATATCAAGACAAGAGTGAGATAAGTAAATGAGCTTACCCACTAGTCGCTGATAACTCTTCCTATCAACAGCTCTTCCTTCATCATCATCAAGTTTCTGATTACATTCTAATGGGGTATCACAGGCCTTACATCTAAGCATCCATGTTTCCTTCAAAAGGTCAAAAACATATTTCCTTTGTGAGATGAAAATCCCATTTTTGGAGCGAGCAACTTCAATTCCCAAAAAATATTTCAAGTTCCCCAGGTCTTTGATTTCAAACTCACTAGCTAAATATTTCTTTTACAGGGGTATTTCCTCACTATCATCACTTGTAAACACTATGTCATCCACATAAACAATGAGAGTCGTAGTCTTACCACGTGAGGAATGTTTTACAAACAAAGTGTGATCTGCCTGACTCTGTTTGAAACTATATTTAAGCATAGCCTGAGTGAATCTCTCACTCTCAAACCAAGTCTTTGGAGACTGTTTGCGACCATATAACGACTTCCAAAGCCTGCATACTTTACCCTCTATCTGATGATCCTTAAAACTAGGAGGAATGTCCATATATACATCTTCTTCTAGATCACCATGTAAGAAAGCATTCTTTACATCAAACTGATGAAGTGGTCAATCTAAATTAGTTGCTAGAGAGGGAAATATTCTGACTGAATTCATCTTACCCACTGGTGCAAAAGTCTCCTGATAGTTTACTCTATAAGTCTGAGTGAAGCTTTTTGCCACAAGTTGAGCCTTGTAACGTTCAATGGAACAATCTTCTTTGTACTTCACAGTATATACTCATTTGCATCCTACCGGTCGTTTGCCCTTAGGTAATTCAGTTAATTCTCAAGTGCCATTCTTACGATGTGTTTTCATTTCCTCAATCATAGCAAGTTTTCATTCTAAAGTAGCGAGAGCATCCTGAAAATGGTTTGGAATACTAACAGAGGAATGTTTGACACAAAGGTTCTATAAGAGAGAGACAAATGAAGAGTAAGACACAAAGTTTGAGATATGATGTTGAGTACAAGATCTCACACCCTTTCTCTTGGCAATTGAAATATCAAGATCAGTAGTGTCAGGAATAGCAATATCAATAGACGCGAGAAACAAGAGGTTTAAAGTTACCTGGACTCTTATCAGAAGCAGGAGATGGCAGTGGGTGAGCAAAAGTAGTTTCTTGTATCCAAGTAACTTTTTTTTGTCTTTGTTCCTGACATAAACTTGCCCTTTACTGTCCTTGGTGGCATTGGATTCTATAGTCCCAGTAATAGGTGGTGCAGGAACAACTGGTTCTATCATGGGAACAATAGAAATAACATGAATCTCTTCACACCATGGCTTCCCTTGAAGGGATGACTGTGACACTGGAGAAGACAAGAAGTAGGATTGGGACTCAAAGAAGGTGACATCTATGGACACAAACCACTTACGAGGAGGGTGATAACATTTTACCCCTTTTGAGTAGGCGAGTATTCAAGGAAAACACCCTTGAGAGAGTGAGAGTCCAACTTACCATGAGTAGAAGAATGATTGTGGACAAAACAACCAGTCAAATATTTTAGGGGAAATGGAAAGCAAAGACTCTAAACAGAAAAGGACTTGAAGTGGAGGTTGTTTTTTCAAAACCTAGGTAGAAAGACGATTAATGAGATATGTTGCAGTGAGAATGACCTCGCTCTAGCAGGACTATGGCACACTTATAGAAAAACACATGCAGCGAGCCATATCAAGAAGATGACGATTCTCGTGCTCTGCAACCCCATTTTATTGAGGCGTATTGGTGCAAGATGTCTGATGTATAATGCCATGAGTGGAAAAATAACTCTCTAATCCCAAATCGATGTATTCACCCCCATTATCAGAATGCAAGATTTTGACAATTGTCCCAAACTAGGTACAAATCATTTTATGAAAATTTTGAAACACAGAAAACTTCACTTTTTTCTTTCATGAGATACATCCAAGTAGTACGAGAAAAATCGTCGATAAATGTAACAAATCATCTATGGTCTTTTAAAGATACAACACGAGATAGACCCCACACATTAGAATGTATTAAAGAAAAATAAGTTAAACTTTTATTAAGACTTAGAGCAAAAGAAGCTTGGTGTTGTTTGCCAAGTTGACAAGACTTACAAAGAAATTCAGACACATTATTGTTTGTAAAAACAGACGGAAATAATGCCTAAGTAAATGAAAAGAAAGATGCCCAAGACGCCAATACCACAGCCATAAATCATCTTTGGTTGGGAACTGGATGGAATGATGAGCAAGCTTGTTCGGCTGATCCAAGAAATAGAGATCATTTTTTGCACTACCACTGCCAATCGTCCTCCTCGTGACAAGGTCCTGAAAAAGACAATAATCAAGAAAAAATGTCAAACTACAGTTCAAATCCTTAGTAATACGACTTAAGGATAGAAGATTAATAGGAAAATTGGGAACGTGGAGCACTAAAGACAGGGGTAAGGTATGGGTGACATGAATAAAACATTTCTCAGAGATAGAAGAAATAGTATCATTTGCAATCCTAACTTTGTTTTGACCTTAAGACAAAGTTAAGAAATCACCTTTTATATTGATTGATTGATTGATGAGTGACTGATTAATCAATTACAATCAATCGATCAATCAATCAATTACAATCTAATCTAAGGGGTTGTTTGGGGTGTCCTAAATAAGTGTACTTTTTGTCTTTTTGGACTAAAAAATTGAAAAAAAAAATATGGATGTTTGGGTTAAGTTTTTGACTTTTTATGAAAAAATTGTATAAATTAATATGTAGGGAAATTGATTGGTAGGGAAAAATTTGAATTGGGAGTTGTGCAGCCGTAATTTTTGACTTTTGGTGAATAGTGATAACTTTTTAACTTTTTGAGTAACTTTTTGATTTTTTAACTTTTTGACAACTTGCCAAACTTGGCCTAAATAAGGAAATAAGAAAATATTCCAACAATAAGTATTGAAAAACACACACAAAACACTGGCAGCACAGGAATAGTGGAGTATTGCAATGAAAATAGTTTCCTTTTCATGTGATTGCATAGAACACCTGAAACAAAAGAAATATAGAAATATTCATTGCAATGGAAATGGTTTACTTCAGGGTTGGAATGCTTTAGATTTGATTTCTTTCCTCCTTTTTTGGTTAGTTTTCATTAATAGATTGGTCTCACCTTGTTTTCTGTCCCAAGTACCTGTTTCATTAGAAGGTTCAAATGTGTAGAAAATCCAGAATTTATAATATTTTAAACTTTACTTGTCTGTATGCCCTGAGAGTTTATTTTATATCTTACTAACCATAGCCGCCATATTTTTCAGCAAGAGCTCATAGTTCAGACACCACTCCAAGGTCCAAAATTGATGAAGGGGATGTCATAGGATTGGCAGCAATTATGTAAGGGATATGTGTATAGTGAGGACTTGTAACTTTAACGTCATATGTGGAAGAGGTGCACCAAAAGTTTTTTTCGGCCAAAATATACCAGGTTGTGAAAATAGTTTATTTCCGAGGCTGCCTCGAGTGAAAGTCTGAGTGGATGTACAATATAGTTTCATATTTTGTATATTTTCTAGTTTTTTTCACCCCACTTTGGAAGAAAACATCTAGATCTGCATTTTACAGTCTGAATACATTGCTTTGTATTTAATACCTAGCCTTGAATGAAAACATACTTTCCATGGAATTTTGCAATATGTGTTGGAAAATTTGGTTTATATAGGCTTATTTTAGGCCAATTTTGAGCCTAAATTTGGATGGGCTCCACACGTCTTTTGGAGTGGGTCCAAAGAGGTGACGTGTTCCTTATCGCATGGTAAGTCACACGGTGAAGACGGTTCGTCAAAACCATTTATGAATGAATGGGAAGTTGACGTTGTTTTCGAATTCATAGAATGGACATTTAAAGAATTAAATGTGGGTTTTCTTATAAGGTTTGTCCCACATTAGAAATTTAAGAGAATTTATGTGTGTATACAAGTTCTAGGTAGCAACACTTGGGTTGGGTCCCATGGGGCCCCCAAGTTTGTAGAAGGGAGGAGCTATGGACAAATGGAACATTGGCTCAAATCACCACACACGCACGAGGGTGCTGCCGCCGTAGCTGTCTGACCAGCCAGGTTAGGCCGTGCTGGGCGCGGGTGTGGGTCGGGTCGGTTCTTATATTAATTTTTTGAACAAAATTTATTTGAATTTTTTCTAGAAATTGTTAATGAAATTAAATTCAAATTGTGTGCTAAAATTGAATTTAATTTTCTGTCCATTTTTTACCTCCTTCAGTTTGAAATTTCAACAGGTTTTAACTATGAGAAACTACCCAGCAGTTTCGGATAGTTACCAAACAGATTCAAATTTGAAACTACTGCAGATCTGTTGAAATTTTGAATTGTATCTGTTCAAAATAGTTTCATACTTGTTCATTCAAAATATGACCTGTTTGGGTCTATCAAAATTGCTTATAAATACCAGCATTTCCAGCAGTGTTTTGGTATCAAAAAACATTGAGAAAAAATATGTTCCCTTTTCGGTTTTGCTGTCTCTTTGCATTATTCTTCATATCATTTTAAGGGAAAAAATTAAGAGTATAGAACACAGGTTTTGTTCGCCGTACAAATTGTTTGAAGTGCTACTACAATTTGTGAAGATCATTGTATCTTGGGAGATAGACGTCATTTATCTGTAAGTACCATAGCGGGGCGAATCTGTCTTAGGACAGAGTGCCACACATTCGACTTGATCTTTTAATATTTATTCAGTTTGGTAAAATAAATTCGGTACATAATTTATTTTATTTGTTTGATTTGTTTCAATTTATTTGTTTTACACAGAAGATTGTTCCCACAATCTTAAGACAGATTCGAATAATTCTGTTTATACAGAATTTTTCGTTTGTTTCCTTTTCTCTTTTTTCTTCTTACAGAAATTATTTTCTGTGGTTTTACAAAATAATATTCTGGTTGGAAAACCAAATAGTAGTTATATACTGTTTGACAGATAGTAGTAATATACGACAAATGGAACATTGGCTCAAATCACCACACACGCACGAGGGTGCTGCCGCCGTAGCTGTCTGACCGGCCAGGTTGAGCCGTGCTGGGCGCGGGTGTGGGTCGGGTCGGTTCTTATATTAATTTTTTGAACAAAATTTATTTGAATTTTTTCTTGAAATTGTTAATGAAATTAAATTCAAATTGTGTGCTAAAATTGAATTTAATTTTCTGTCCATTTTTTACCTCCTTCAGTTTGAAATTTCAACAGGTTTTAACTATGAGAAACTACCCAGCAGTTTCGGATAGTTACCAAACAGATTCAAATTTGAAACTACTGTAGATCTGTTGAAATTTTGAATTGTATCTGTTCAAAATAGTTTCATACTTGTTCATTCAAAATATGACCTGTTTGGGTCTATCAAAATTGCCTATAAATACCAGCATTTCCAGCAGTGTTTTGGTATCAAAAAACATTGAGAAAAAATATGTTCCCTTTCCGGTTTTGTTGTCTCTTTGCATTATTCTTCATATTATTTTAAGGAAAAAAATTAAGAGTATAGAACACAGGTTTTGTTCGCCGTACAAATTGTTTGAAGTGCTACTACAATTTGTGAAGATCATTGTATCTTGGGAGATAGACGTCATTTATCTGTAAGTACCATAGCGGGGCGAATCTGTCTTAAGGACAGAGTGCCACACATTCGACTTGATCTTTTAAATATTTATTCAGTTTGGTAAAATAAATTCGGTACATAAATTATTTTATTTGTTTGATTTGTTTCAATTTATTTGTTTTACACAGAAGATTGTTCCAACAGAAGATTGTTCCAACAATCTTAAGACAGATTCGAATAATTCTGTTTATACAGAATTTTTCGTTTGTTTCCTTTTTTCTTTCTTCTTACAGAAATTATTTTCTGTGGTTTTACAAAATAATATTCTAGTTGGAAAACCAAATAGTAGTTATATACTGTTTGACAGATAGTAGTAATATACTATCTATTTTGTTTGACAACTAGTAGTAATATACTGGTGTCATTAACAATTCAGAATATTTTTTGTGAAGTTTGTCAGAAATTAATTTTTGATTTTCAAAAATATTTTTGAGTTTGCATTAATTAAAATTATGTTTCAGTATTTTAATTATTGAAGTGTTACAGAAATATAATTTTCTGTGTGGAATTAATTTGTTTAAATAAAATTTTATTTTATTTTCAAATTAATTGGAAATAAAAGTTACAATTCTTGTTTCTTTTATTTGTACAGAATTTAATTATGTGATTTTGGTTTAAATTTTCTATATAGTATAAAATTCTAATTCTAATTTTGTTTTATAATTTAGAATTTATGGTTATTGAAACTTGTCAAACTAATGCTCGAACAAGTACTAGTGTGGTGGCTGTAATTGATCCAACCCCTCCTGTTGTGACTGTGCCAGTCAATCACGATGAGAAGTCAGAAGTTCTGAGGAATTGATTTTAAAAGATAATAGCAAAAAATGTTGTTTTATCTTACTACTCTCAACCCGGCGCGTTTTCTCCATGAGGATGCTCCTATTCTGAAAGAGAATGAAACTGACCGACAAGTAGTTGTTGCAGTCGATGCTTGGAAACATGCTAATTTCCTTTGTCGGAACTACATCTTGAACGGACTTGACAACACATTATGCAACGTCTATAGTCCTATCAAGACAATAAAGGAACTTTGGGAGTCTTTGGAGAAAAAGTACAAAACAGAAAGATGTTGGCTCAAAGAAATTTGTGGTTGGCAAACTCTTGGATTTTGTAATGGCTGATTCTAAGACTGTAATCAGTCAAGTTTAAGATCTCCAACTCGTTCTGCATGACATTCACATAGAAGGCATGTCTCTCAGTGAATCCTTTTAAGTTGCTGCCTTAATTGAAAAATTACCACAAGGCTAGAAGGAATTCAAGAACTACCTCAAACACAAGCGCAAAGAAATGTCTTTAGAAGAATTGATTGTGCGTTTGAGGATTGAAGAGGACAACCGTAATTCAGAAAAGTGGGCTGATAAGCATCTGATGAAAGTCAAAGGCAAATATGGTAGAACATTCTCCAAATGCCAAGAAACAGAAGTTTTATGAAGAAAGTTCCTCATGAAGTTCTAAAGGAGGGGAAAATAAGAAATACAAGTTTAATGACAAATGTTGCATTTGTGACAAAGAGGGACATTGGGCCAAAGATTGTCATAGCAAGCGTAAAGGCAAAGGAAGGACAAGCAAGAAGCATGCTTAAGCCCATATGACCGAAATGGACAATATTTCCAACGGCGTAGATGACATAAATTTTTCTATAGTTGTTTCCGAGGCAAACCTTGTCAGAAATCCTAAAGAATGGTGGGTAAACACTGGTGCTACTCGTCATATCTGTGCCGATAAAAAGATGTTTACATCTTATTTTACAGTGGACAATGGTGAACAACTTTTTATGGGCAACTCCTCGACTTCCAAAGTTGAAGGACAAGGAAAGATTATTCTGAAGATGATATTTGGAAATGAACTCACTCTCAACAATGTGCTGCATGTGCTAGACATTCGCAAGAACCTTGTTTCCGGATCTTTGTTGAGTAAAAATGGGTTTAGGCTAGTTTTTGGAAGTGACAAGTTTGTACTTACCAAAAATTGGATATATGTAGGAAAATGTTACATGTCTGATGGCCTTTTCAAAATGAATGTAAAGACTGTTATACCCTCTGTTATTAATAAAAATACATATTCTTCTTACTTGCTTGAGTATTCAAATTTATGGCATGGTAGACTTGGACATGTTAATTATGGATCTTTGCGTTGATTAATTAATATAAAATGTTTACTTAAATTTGACATTGATTTAAATCATAAATGTAAAATTTATATTGAGGCAAAATTAACCAAAACTCCTTTTCATTCAATTCAATGAAGTACGGAGCCACTTGAATTAATTCATAGTGACATTTGTGATTTTAAATCAATTTAAACTAGAGGTGGGAAAAATATTTTATCACTTTCATAGATGATTATACTAGACATAGTTATATTTATATTTATTTAATTCGAACCAATGATGAAACTTTAGAATCTTTAATTTAATATAAGAATGAAGTTGAAAATCAACTTGGTAAGAAAATTAAGAAACTTAAAAGTGATAGAGGTGGTGAATATGAATCACCTTTTAGTGAATCTTGTAAAGAACATGAAATAATTCAGCAAACCATCGCTCCGTACTCACCTCAGCAAAATGGAATTGCTGAAAGAAAAAATAAGACGTTAAAAGAAATGATAAATGACATGTTAATAAGTTCTGAATTACCTTAGAACTTGTGGAGGGATGCAATACTTTCTACTAACTATATATTTAATAAAGTACTCCGAAAGAAAGTGAATCAAACATCTTATGAATTGTGGTATGAAAGAGTACAATTCTACAAATACTTAAAAGTGTGGGGGGTGTTTGGCGAAAGTGGCTATTCCTGATTCTGAAAAGACTAAGATGTGTCCTAAAACAATTGATTGCATTTTTATTGGTTATGCCAAGAATAGTAGTGCATATCGGTTTTTGATTAATAAATTAGAACATTCCGAAATACATATAAATACTATTATTGAATCTTGGAATGCGTCTTTCTTTGAACATATATTTCCAAACAAGATTGGATAAGAGACTAGTACTAATAAAAGATCTTATAATACTATTACTAATA